ACGTTACATCGGTTTCTTAACGTTACATCGGTTTCTTAACGTTACATTGGTTACTTAACGTTACATCGATTACTTAACGTGACATTGGTTACATTTGCAACGTATGCTTAAACCTCGTTTCCTGTGAAAATGGAGATTTATTCTGAAAGGACAGTTTTCATGTCACTTGAAGCTCCATAATTTTACATGTTGGACAGGAAGAACATAATCAGTCTAACATTTTAGGAAATCCTCTGTTTGCTGTCAGAAATCTTCTTCTCTCCTGTAACATGAATATTATATTGTACAGGACACAAAGACGTGTTGCTTCAGCTCACAGTTTAACATTCAGCCTGTTTCCTGTAATATTGTACATCAGAAGTCTCTTATCATTTATGTTTCATATCTTCTCTTTTCTTTCATTCTGTTTAAAAGTGATTAAAATGTGTTTTTTTCTGCAGAAGACAGAAAACATTAATGAACTTTTATTAAACGCTGTCTTCTCTCAGCGGACACAAAAGCACAAACAGGATTTGATTAAGATAAATGACTGATAACCTCAAACCTCATTATTACACAGACTTGTATTTATTTCTCTTTTATTTTCCCTCACTGAAAAATATGAAAGCTCACAAAAGTTCAGTTTATTATGCTTTATGTTTATTATTCTCTCTCCTTCATTTACATTCAAGCAGCTTCTCCTGCTGTTCAGCTCTTCTGTTCAGCTCTACGTCAAACACAGTGATGGGAAATTAAATCATTGAGGCTAAACATTAAAGATTATTATTATTATTATACCCATAGTTATTATTTTTATTATTATTAATATTGTTATTATTATCAGACCCCAAACATTGGTGTAATATAGCAGTGTGGAACATATGAAGCATAGAGAAATACTGCAGCAGTATAAAATCTATGACTTTGAACAAGAGTTACATAATGTAACTACAGTTCTATGATTTTCTCTTCAGTCTTCTGTCTTTAATCTTCAGGTCAGTTTGCATCAGACCACCTCATGTGCGTTCAGAGGTCAGGTGCATTTTGGGAGATGTTGGTGTGTTTTGATCTTCCGCTGCCGTGGTTATTACGATAACACACTGGGGGGGACCTTTGACCTGAGAGAGACACTTGAAGGAACCCTCCAACATTTGAGGAAATCTTCTGGTCTGAAAATGTTCCTTTAAAGAGGCGATACAGTTACTGTGTACTGTTAACACACACACACACACATACACACATCAGGGGTCCCCCTGAGGACCTGATTGAGAGCAGTGAGCTCTGGTTGCCGTGGCAGCAGCAGCTCCCCTCCTCCATCAACACTCGTTTTCCCTTTTTCACTCTTTTCTATCTCCTTTGTTTGTTGTCTGTCTGTCTCTGTCTCTCTCTGTCTGTCTTTCTCTCTCTCTGTCTGTCTGTCTGATTGTCTTATTGTCTGATTGTCTCTCTGTCTGTCTGTCCCTCTGTCTGTCTGTATGTCTCTCTCTCTCGCTCTGTCTTTCCGTCTCTCCGTCTGTCTCGCTGTCTCTGTCTGTCTGTCGGTCTGTCTCTCTCTCTGTCTCTCTCTCTCTCTGTCTGTCTGTCGGTCTGTCTCTCTCGCTGTCTCTGTCTCTCTGTGTCTCTCTCTGTCTCTCTCTCGGTCTCTCTGTGTCTCTCTCTCTGTCATTCTGTCTCTCCGTCTGTCTCTCTCTCCGTCTCTCTGTCTGTCTCTCCATCTGTCTCTCTCTCTGTCTATCTGTCTGTCTGTCTCTCCGTCTGTCTCTGTCTCTCTGTCTCTCGGTCTGTCTGTCTCTCAGTCTCTCTGTCTGTGTCTCTCTCTGTCTGTCTGTCTGTCTGTCTCTCAGTCTCTCTGTCTGTCTCTCTCTGTCTGTCTCTCTGTCTCTCTGTCTGTCTCTCTCTGTCTGTATGTCTGTCTCTCTTCCTGTCTCTCTGTCTCTTGGTCTGTCTGTCTGTCTCTCCATCTGTCTCTCTCTCTCTCTGTCTCTCTGTCTGTCTGTCTCTCTCTCTCTCTCTCGCTCTCTGTCTCGCTGTCTGTCTGTCTCTCCATCTATCTCTCTCTCTCTCTGTCTGTCTCTCTCTCTCTGTCTGTCTGTCTGTCTCTCCGCCTGTCTCTCTCTCTGTCTGTCTGTCTCTCCGTCTGTCTGTCTGTCTGTCTGTCTCTCTCTCTGTCTGTCTCTCTCTGTCTGTCTGTCTGTCTCTCCGCCTGTCTGTCTGTCTGTCTGTCTCTCTCTCCGCCTGTCTCTCTCTCTCTGTCTGTCTCTCTTTCACTGGGAACCAGTTAGTAAGCTGGTCATTTCCTCTTGAAGGTGTCAGACTGCAGATTGAGACCATATGATTTGACAGAAAGCTCCAGAAGCGGTATGATGTGATGATATAGTTTGTTTTATAAAGAAACTAATAGTATTTATTGATGATATAAATAGATAAATAAATAAGAGAATACACGTAATTTAATATTAGTTAAACAAATAAAGATCACATGACATAATTTACCACCTGATCAATATGTAAATATTCAATGATGAAGATAAACCCCCTCTGTTCTCAAGTCCACTTGATACAGTCAGGCCACCTCGGGCCGCCCCCCCTCTATGAATCCAAGTGGGTTCTCCCACTTCCTGTTTGATATGTGAACCTTTGTGGAGGACAAACTTTAAGGTAATGAAGAGAGTTTTAATGAAACATTACAATGTGTTGTTAGGAAAGTGAGACACTTAGTCCTGGTTCCACCAAAGTACTGGTTCTTCACCAGATCAGGTCTTTGGAGACACTCCTTGTGGATCAAGTTATGTTTGTTAGCAATGTGCTCTTATTTTGAAATAAAAGGCTGCGTTAGTGGAGAATTGAGACCATGAGCAGCTTTCATGTGATTGGCTGACAGCTGAGTTTAATGTGAAGTTTCCCAGAATGCACTGGGGCAATAGATTCCTTCCTAATGTCATTTAATTTCATTTGGTTGTTCAGTGTTGCTGTTAAACAGTCTGCTGATGTTGGTGAGGTTCTCATGATCATCATGAATCTGAATATAATTCATATACTAACAATAATAATAATTTTAAAAGAAGTTGAAATGCATAAACAACTTTTTAAAGCAAAATTAAATCATAGATTTGATTTAAATGATCAGTTTCTACTCTAATGTTGTTTCTCTGAATATTACTTTCATCATGTTTCATTTTATTTTTATTGTGAAATACACAGCTGATGGTGAACAATAAGTAATAATCATCTAAAATCATCTTCATCCTTTCGTTAAAACAGCGAGTCATTGTTATTTATGAACGTCATGAGTTTCACAGTAAAACATCTCAAATATTAAAACTTCTGTTTGCTTTGTTTACAGCTCACCTTGTTTACTGCTGATTGTTTACTGCTGATTGTTTACTGCTGGTTGTTTACTGCTGGTTGTTTACTGCTGCTTGTTTACTGCTGCTTGTTTACCTGCTGGTTATTTACCTGCTGGTTATTTACCTTCTGATTGTTTACCTTCTGATTGTTTACCTGCTAATTGTTTACCTTGTGATTGTTTACATGCTGGTTGTTTACCTTCTGATTGTTTACCTTCTGATTCTTTACCCGCTGGTTGTTTACCTTCTGATTATTTACATGCTGGTTGTTTACCTTCTAATTGTTTGCCTTCTGATTGTTTACCTTCTGATTGTTTACCCGCTGGTTGTTTAGCGCTGGTTGTTTACCTTATGATTGTTTACCCGCTGGTTGTTTACCGCTGGTTGTTTAGCGCTGGTTGTTTACCTTCTGATTGTTTACCTTCTGATTGTTTACCTGCTGGTTGTTTACCTGCTGGTTGTTTACCTGCTGATTGTTTACCTTCTGATTGTTTACCTGCTGGTTGTTTACCTTCTGATTGTTTACCTGCTGATTGTTTACCTGCTGGTTGTTTACCTGCTGGTTGTTTACCTTCTGGTTGTTTATCTGCTGATTGTTTACCTGCTGGTTGTTTACCTGCTGGTTGTTTACCACTGGTTGTTTACCTGCTGATTGTTTACCTGCTGGTTGTTTACCTGTTGATTGTTGACCAATGGTTGTTTACCTTCTGATTGTTTACCTGCTGGTTGTTTACCTGCTGGTTGTTTACCAGGCTCTGATTGTTCGGTAGGCGGAGTAGGTCAGGTGTTCAGCATCAGATGGGGAGGAGTTATGACTTCTTCTGTGAACTTGAGTTCACTCAGAGTGACTTTCATTCCACAGTGACTTTGTTTCAATGAGCAAAGGTTTACATTTAGCAGTAAAGTAGTTTGATTGGACATTTATTAATTTCTTCATTTATTGATTTATTTATTGATTTTTATTCCAAGTTATACTGATAGTATAACAGGTGGGAATGTTGGGAAAAAATCTAAATGACTAATTAGTATGTGTTTAAATGATTAACAAAAGCTCATGTCCTCTGTAGTGTTTAAGGCCTGTGTCCTTGTGTGAACTTTCTGGGACACCAGGCATCTTCA